CATTGTTAAAATTATGGTTATTTTGATTATTAAAACCCGGACCATTTAAGTTTTGAGACTGAGAAAAATTTTGATGCTGATATGCGCGATTGTATGAATTAAAGTTTCTTTTATTATGATTACGAGGAAAATTACCTCGGCCAAGAGCGCAACGACTGCCGGAGCCCGCGCGGCCATCGCCGCCGGTGGGAAACGCCGACATCTGGAGATTATCATTACAAGCGCCATCATTAATAGATGTGCGCGACCTTCTATCATTTAGCATGACCTGTGTGAGGGTGTCAATGGACTTCTGAAGCCCCGCAAGAATCGCGTTTTCTTGCGCTGAGGAAGTAAAACTATTCGGGCCAGCGTCAATTTTATGAATCGATGGAAACACCTTGTCCGCCCCCTGCAATCTATAATATATCTCGTCAGCGCGCTTGACATTGTCCCTCTCGTTTTCAATCGTTACTTCCGAGTCAAGGTGAACGGCAATGTGCGGTGGAAGCGTCAAGGACCACCATTTTAAAATCGCGTTTCTATTAAACAATTTATCACCCGATCCGACGAGAGAATCAAGGTAATCCGACGGCAGCTGATTTCGCGCGCCCAACGAGCCGTCGCGAAATCTTAGGAACCTGGTCTTTTCATGTTCGACATATTTCCTCAATAAGAGCGATCGAAGTGCCTCATATTTATTGTTGCTCGGCAGGCCACGCATCGAATCACCAAGCTCCGCGATAACATCGCTGCCCAAGGAAGCGAGTGTGTGAATAAATTTATCGTGATCAGAGAAAATGCCGCACGCGTTCAACTTTTGCTCGATAGTATCCAGCCAAAGCTCTGGCTGTTTTCTCCAAAAGGCCGCAAACGAAAACAATTTATTCGAGGTAAAAGATGAAGTAAGCGAGGGGAAAAAACTTGACCTGCTTGGGGGATTAAAATTATCTGAACCGGCCTGGCTCGACGGTCGATCGCGATTCTCCAACGGGTCGAAACTCGAAAGCGGCGGCAAAACCTGAGAGGTCTGCTGGGGTTGGCAGGCACCACCTTGAGGCAGGGCGGTAAAACCTCGATAAGACGAAGCTGGGGACAAGTCTTCAGGAGTAGAAGATTGTAAAGAGTTAACCTGCAAGGTTACTCGAGAGCAGCTCATGGGCTGCTGATTTACGCAATGAGTGTTAATTAAATCGATAAGGGTTGGTGCAGCTGCGCTGCTCACAGCAGCGACAACAGGGATCGCGGTGTCCATAATATGCGCCGACGCGGAATTAGCAGGGTCGATCTGCGGCGGGACCGAGGGCGCGTCTGGGGGAGTCATGTCACAGTCTGTTCAGTAAGAGGAAAGAACAAGGATTGAAGGTACAAAAAAATGATTATGAAGAAAACAGGTCTATTGTAATGATGAGGGAATAAAAGGGAAAGAGGGAAAAAATGATTTAAATGGATGCGGCCTGAAAACCAAGCGAAGCAAGGTCGCGCGCCGACAGGACGAAGCCTTCAGCGTATGAATTTTTGCAATGAGAAAAAAAGGAAAAATAAATGAATGAAATGAAAAATAATGATTCCTATCAATAAGTTCAAACCCAAATCTCGATCTTAAAATTAATTAACGACTTTGGTCGTACAGACGCTATTTACAATAGTTATAGCGTAACATACACTCCACCCAACACACATGCGACCGCACGGAACCGCAGGAACCGGCGTCGACTCACACTGCACGACGGTGACTCTACACTAATGAAAAGAACGCGTACAATGTATAAAAACGCAACGTCGAAACGCGATTCTGATAAGGCAGCATAAAAAATCAAAACTATACGGTAGAGAGAAAGCTACTCAATTAATTGCAAAGCTACGCTGACCTGTCGATTGAATAATTTAAGTTTAGCCACAGCTAAATGCTGGGTGTATAATCGCAAGGCAAAAATTCGGACCCACCCTACACGGCAAGTGTTTCTCTAAAACTTAGGCGTCGTTGATGTGCTTCTTGGTGAAAATATCAGCGCAATCAAAAATGCACGCGTGCACTACGCGCAAATCGCGCGCTGCGAAACACAAAATTAATCAACGCACGCTCAAGCGACTGCCGGTGTCTGCGCAGCGCTAACACGTAAAGAACGTGTAAGAAAAACACCTAAAATTTGCCGCGAGACGGGGGAACGAACAAGGGATGCGATGTATAAATTTGCTGCTAAATGCTAGCGATGATCGAGAGAGAGAGAAACAAAACTCTGCACAATATCCTCAGATAACTAGATCATACAGCAGTCTGTTTCGAAGTAAGTTTGTAGTGCGTAAGCTGCGCAACTACAAATTTCTATAAAAAGAAAATAATAGTTAATTGAATCGTGTAAATATGCCTGTAAATAGGGCGAATAACACCGAGAACGGCGTAAAAAAATGATCGAGCCTCTACAGGGAGTGATATGCACCCGCAATTCTCGAGCGAAGAGTACTGCTTCACTGCGAGGAAAAAAGTACAACACAGTCCGTTCAAGACTCGATGTTCGGCCGCGATAGCCCTGCTGCGTAGGCGAGAGTAAGGTGTGCCTCGTCAGCGATGAGCTGTGTGGGCCCAAAAATAAAAAAGGAAAAATATATGCGCCACGCGCGTAAAAATTACTAGTGCTAAATTAATTGAATACGCCGCGAGCGTGAAAGCTGCTTGGGCCGAATTACTTATATGTGCCGCGAGCGTGAAAGCTACTTGGGCGAATTTAATCTGCTTGAGAAAAATCTGTCTAATTTATGAAATATTCTTATGTATACTGGTATCGTGTTCGTCAAATATAATTACAGATAACAAAGACACGTATGTCGATAACATGTGCCACGAAGGGCAGAATTCAAAACAAAAATGGCAGGTTAGGCCAATAACAATGAATACGAAAAATAACAATCGGCGACAAAGGCCGTTATGATATTATAAATCAGAGTCGTATACGTCGAGAACGAACACAAAGGGGAATCTTTGTTTACTTCGCGCCGAACCTGTTGCAAGCAGATACGGCGACTTTGGAGCAAGTCAGCGCGCGCAAAATCACAACACTGGCCTGCGCATGCCAGCGATCAAATTCCACGAAGCGCTGCCCGATCACAATCGTTGCTTCGACGTTACGAAACGTAAACAAAGGTCTAACGAACTTTTTGAAATGTTCGAATTTTCTCGAATCTTAAAATCCGTTGCTATTTCGGAGAATTGAATCGCGTAATTATTTCGCGATGTTAATTTCGAAAAATTTAATGAGAAGTATCCTCTAATTTCAGCGATTGACAATGTTAAAATTAGCAAGTTACCGAAGCGAAACTCTGTGTGAATTGAAATTATGTACAGAGATAGCGGCTAAAACGAAACGAAAATACCCGAGCGGCACACGATGCGACGTGACCGAATAATAATTCGCGAGAACTCCGGATTTACAACGCGAAATCACCCGGACACGCACACATACACACTCTAAATATATGGACGACGTCGTCCACGAGGACTGTCGTCGGCGACACGCAAGACGCGTAAACCCGGACGTGTAACACGCAGGTGTTAGTTACGCATTACATGAAATTATCAACGCGCTCACGACTCCGAAGCTAGACTAACTCGGCGACAAAATCTCGACCCGAACTCAGGGCGTCAACAATGCAATGCAGTATCACGATCGCCACCGTCGAGAAGAAACTTGCCACCAAGATCAAAAAATATGAAAGGCAATAAAATTGAAAATTTCGGAGTCGTGATGCGTATCGTATCGATATTTTTAGTACGCAAAGTACGCGATGGTTGCAGCCGGGAAAATAATAAAATCTTACGGTCGCGCGAATGCTCTCCACTCCTCGTAGGTGTAGTCCTCGATGTTGGCCTGGTAAAGGTGCTCCATCCGGTCGCTGCTGCGCGATGCTGTGCAGATGCTGGTCGACGACGTCCTCTCGGAGCAAGCCGGACTGGTGTTGTCGTTGCCAGCGAAACTTCGACCCGCGCTGCTACCGGCACGATGACAAGATGGCCGCTGATGTAGCTGTAGCTGCTGCTGCTGCTGTGGTCGAAGTTGTGTCCGTTGGGAAGTCGTCCGCCTCGTCGCCAAGGCCTGCTGCAGAACGCAGAGCACAACTCGCAAAGATGTGGTGCGAGGAAAAGACACAGCGCCTGAACGGGAAAAAAAATTTAGGCCGCTGCGCCGAACAAGCCTCCGACCGAGCCCGCTCTTGCGAGATCTTCTCCTCTCGATGTCGCCCGTCAACTTGAAAAAGTAGCGATTTCTCACCCTCGGAGCTCGAAGACGACCTCGCGGATGTCGGCTGATCACCAGTGTGGAAGAGTACTCGATGAAATACCCCGGCTGACTCCAGCAGTTCCTGGGGGGCGACGAGTCCACACTCTCGTCGCAACGTTGCGTGTTCCGGTCGTCCGCGTGGCAGAGAGCGAACGAGCGAGAGAAATATTGGGCAGGAGAAAGAAAGAAAAACCCGAACGAACAACAAAGTACTGAGTGACTCGATTTATTGTTCGGCTGACGATGATACAATTGGAGCGAACGGGCAGAGAGAGACTAGGCCGTGCGCTCGCTTCAACGGTCGGATACTGTCTGGCCTCTCGCTGCGCGGCCCGACGCAGCGGCCCGGCAGCGAGAGGGGGTTCGCGCCGCGCGCGCCTACCGGCGCAGAGGCGAAGCATTATGACACGACGCCACAATTAGCACATTAGATAAGAAGTTGTTTGAACGCATGATGAAAGCTTCGTAACTTTGGGCTATTTTCTTATTTCATTGTACCAAGTACAGTTTATTTGAAACAGATTTTGCAATATTTGAATCCCAATTTCCAAAACTACGATAACAAATAAATCAACTTAACATTGTAGTCATTGAATTCGTTTATGAATACGAGAAACATATTGAAATATAAATAGAATTTATAATTTTATGATCTATACCATATTTATGTCTCTAATTAAATAATATTATTGTTGCAGTCATTCTATCCACCCTCGATTTCAAATATGGCTTCAGGCTGTGCAGCGCGGGGGAACCTGGTGTAAGTAAAATATTTAAATATCATAAATGACATCATATGTACAGAAAATCATCTATCCAAAAAATGTTCAACATTTTAATTTACTCAATTAAATTTTATATTAACTCATTCAAGTAAATTTCATTTTGAAAACGATACTTTTAATTGTTTTACAGTACTTGGACTTTGACAATTTGCCTGAAACCAACTTTTCGTGTCAGGGGAAGGTGATTGGAGGATATTATGCAGACGTTGAGGCAGGGTGCCAAATGTTCCACGTTTGTACCATCGGTCAAAAAGGTGAAAAGATCATTATTTCAAAATATATTATTTCTAGTGTATATTCTTATAGTTGGTGTATTTTAATTATTTGCCTTCAATTTTTTAAAACTCGCTTCCTAGTTTTTGCCAAAAAACGTGTGAAAGGGTTAAATCAAATTATAATAGTCTAATATTAGTCATGAAAGATCAATATTGAAGTTATTCATCCTAATTATTTTAAGCAGATCAAGGTCTTACGCTTTTTGTATTTTTTTCAGATGAAATAATGGATATAAAATTTCTCTGCTTAAATGGGACTGTTTTCGATCAAGAAACAAGAGTATGCGAAAGAGTAGATGAAGTCGATTGTAGCAAAAGTGAACGGTTTTATAATCTTAATCTTGAACTTTATGGAAATAATGCTGTGCCTTTAAGGTATTTTGATAATATATTTAAATTATTCAAGTTTTACATGACATTTTATTCCTGTTTACCCGTAAATTGTTCATCTAAAATTTTGAATCACATAATAGTATACTAACTAAAAAAAAATGTTATTTTTAAGCCTTCAAGAAGAAGAAGTTGAAGAGTCATCCGATTTTCAAGATGACAACCAACAAAATCATATGCCTCCTTCGTATTCAAGTACAACCACTACGACAACAACTACAACTCCAAGGCCTCCTCCACCGTCTACAACATCAGCAAATAGTCTTTACGATCCACAACAACTAAATGGTTTTGCTCAGCCTTATCAACCACGACCAAAATTCCCCAGTCAGTCAACTCAATCGAATCATTATGATGATAAAAATAATGGCTATCATCATCAATACATTTTCCATAACGATGAAAGAAGTAACAATAACAATCAGGCAACTTCCTTTCAATTATTTAGCAATCAAGGTGTTAGTTCGACAACTTCTAGCCCTCCTGTGCATCAGCAGGTATTTATTTGTTTAAAGCCATGAAAAAATGATTCTATTTTTTTAAATTTAAAGCGAAAATAATGTCATTACGTAATACCGTAGGTTCGATATAATTCTCCATCCAATTCTCAAGTAAATCATAATGAGCAATCAACATCAGAACCACTGCAATACCATGTGCAAACTACAGCATTGCCAATTCAAACGCTCGTGAATAATAACGCTAATAATCCATCTCAAATCAATCAAATTTTTCACAATCATGGTATAGCCAGTACGACTGAACACTACGATCCTCATAACAGTAATAATCATGACATCGATGATGATTATGAGGACAGTTTGGAGCAAGAAGAAGAAGACAGAACTGAAAGAAGACGCTTGGAGCCGTTGCAATCAACCAGTCAAGGAAAGGTATTCGATTCTTTGTGTTTAATTCTAACTTAATTAATTAACTACTAACTTCTCAAGTATATACTAACGAATCTAATACTATTGCAATTTTTCAAGGTTTCAAAGTTGATGATACCTTCGGTACAGCAACAAGAAAATCGTCCATCGAATGTTCATATGAATACACAGCCAAGTCCTCAGCAGCAACAAAAACAACAACAGCAACAACAGCAGCACCAGCACCAACAAAACCAGCAACAACAACATCAGCACAACCAGCAACAACAACAGCAGCATCAGCACCAGCATCAGCAACAGCAACAACAGCATCAACACCAGCAACAGCAACAGCAGCTTCAACGCCAGCATCAACAACAGCAACAGGAACAGCAACATCAGCATCAACAACAGCAACAGAGATTATCCGTCAACTATTTGCCGAGTTCAAATTCTCAACAGACGACGATAAGTGGATTTTACCCAACTCAACGATCAATATCAGGAAAATCACCAAAAGTGCAAAATCCAAACCAACAAGTAACACAACACATTCATATTCCACCATCACCATCCATACCTCAGTTAAAATCACATCAAATAACGATAAATCTTCCTCCACCTCCAGACATTCAACGGATTGTACAAAACCCATCACCCTTATTACCATCACAGTCGCGGGTAATTGTAACGGCGAAGGCAAGTGTTAGTGATGAGTCGGGTCGCCCTTTGAATACCAGCGAATTGATAACTCTACCTATACCTACAGTACCTTCAAACTACGACGATTATAAGGAAGGCGACGAATCATTCGATCCTTTTTATCGTGATGTGCCGAAAGTTCGTGATGATCGTCGCATATTGGTAAGTAGACGAGCTGAGCAAAATGAACGGCATTTTAGACAGAGACGCTCAATTGCTCGAACAGCTAAAGTTAATAATAACTCTTCAGATGAAGTTATCTTTAATGCAGAAATTCGAGATTTTACCGATCTCAAAGCTAATCTACCGATTATCAAAGCCATTTTGTTTGGAGAACCATTGCCCGAACAAGATCATGATGACGACCGGAAGAAAATTGATTCTGATTCAGAGTATTCTGATAAAAACTTGAATCATTCTAAACTCGAATATGATACTGAAGTCGATTACGATTTTGAAGATTCCGATCAGATCGGTGTTGATGAAACCGAAAAAGAATCTCAAAATAGTGATAACTCGGAAAATATCAAAGAAAACAAAAGACCAAGGTATCACACAATTCCTGAAACAACAACAACGACAGGGAGAATAGTAATTCCAAGTAGAATCCAAGGTGAAAATTTACGTTTTGTTACAAATCGACATAAGTATATTCAATTACCGAATGTGTCAACTAATCGTCCAGAATCCATGAATCCAGTAATTTTAAAACCTGAAAAAATAGATTCAAACCCAAAAGAAACAATTCAACTATATTTGCATTCAAAAAATCGTAATAATTCTTCAATGAATAGACACAGTTTTCAAATGAAAAAGGGCAATTCCACAAGCAGAACTAATGATATTAATAGCAAAGACCAGGTTAAGGAATTTGAATCGACAACTACGAAAACGACTTTCACAACAACCACTCAACAAGCATCAGAATATGAAGAAGATATCGTACAACCACATCAACCTAAAAAAAGTAGTCATAGCAGTAATTCAAGACCATTAAGGTATTATGATGATGATGAATACGATGTGAATGAAAGAACTGAATATAATCCCAGGTCGAGATCAAATAGATTAAGACAAAGATCAAAAGATAGACGTAATTATAGAAATGATTATGATGATGATCTGGATGAAAGGACAGGTTACGATGTTGATTACATGAGGCCTCGTCAAAGTCACTCTCGGAGACGTCCTCAAGATCGAAGAACAACGTACAGAAATTACCCACGGCAATACGAGTATGACGATGAAAATAATGAAGAAATCGATAAATCAAGACTACGTGTAAATGAAGATACTTCTGAAATTCGTGAAAATACCCGTTCATATCACAGAAATCATGCAGATGAGAGAAGAAGAAATCCAGCGCCAATTAACAGAAAAAATGGGCGAAAACGACCTATAGCTACAGATCATTCAGATCTTCTTAATAATACAAAGTCTTCCGGAACCGAAATTATCGAAGAGCTGTATACGACTGAATCAGTAGAAATTTCTCAGCCCACTGTGTCGAATAAAAATGGTAAAATATATATAAATCAGCGACGGCGAGGAAGTGAACCAAGAGATCGCATGAAAGAATATTATGATTATCCCAGAGAAAGGTACGTTCCAGACTTTACTGATCTCGAAGAAGATGAATACGCTGATTACGCTGATGAGCACGATCGAATAAGCAAATCTAGAATAAATAATCGAAAAAGTAGAAATAGATATGACGAAGATCGAGGAACTACTTCGAGAAAAAAATCATACAGGCGAGATGAAAATGATCGTTATGAAGATGAATCAGATGACAAGATTTCTTACGAAACCATAGATACAACGACAATGAAACTAGCAAAATCTGATATTGGATCAGAAGACGATACCACAGATTATACAGAAAATCCAACAGTATCCAAAGATTATGATGATTATGAGTTCAAGACGACCCCGAAATTTGACGATGAAAAAATTACTACGGAATCGCCTGTGACTTCAGGTATTTTAAAATACACCAATGAAATGCCTCGAGCTGAAATTAACGACGAAAAAGATGACATCGGCCTAAAAGATATCATAAATTCAAATCAAGAGGACTATGTAGATGATAACTATGAGCCCGAAAGTTATACTGAAAATCTTGCTAAAGATTCACCATCAGAAAAGCATGAAAAAGAAATAGAAAAAGCTAAAGCACAACCAAAAATCATAAGTAGAGAAAATGAAAATCGTTCTCCTATAAAATCAAACCAAGATAAAATCATACAACTCAGAACTACGACACAAAAAAGTAAAATTCAAGACCCTGAAGATATCATTAATGAAGAATATGACGATGATTATGAAGATAATTTAGAAACTACGATAAAACCAATCATTGAAGATGGAAATTCGAAGAAAATTCTGGCACATATTACAACAACGCCCTCGAGTTTCAAGTCTCCTGCTCCAGTCACGATGTTGACAACAATCAAATCTTTGACAACTTTGGAACCGCTCACATCTACATCACCATCAACTTCAACACCAAAACCCTCTACAACATCGACTTTGACTCCGATGACAATTTCAACCACTTCGGAATCTACAACAACAATTGTCTCAGAAATATCGTCGACAACTACCGATGCAACAAAAAGTTCAGCAAAATTATTAAATAGTCCAAGATATATTTCCACAACTACATCTACGGTTCCGACTAGCACATTATCAGCACGAAAATTGCAGTTTAATCCAACAAGAAGTACATCAAAATTATACAGATCAAAACCTACTATGAGATATTTCAAGCCAACTATTTCAAGAAAAAATTATACATTTAAGGCCCCTACAACACCAAAGGTAGTAGCATTAAGAAGACAATTATCAATAGGTTCTAAATCGACCAAAGCACCCGTTATAAGTGAGCTTCCGGGGAAATCATTGATCCGAAGATTACCTCTATTGTCTAGAACTACTACAACAACATCAAAAGCTATCACTATTGAAGAAGAAAGTATTATTTCAACTGAATACGAAGGCGAGGAGAATAAAAAAGGTTTCAAAAAATCAGGATCTTCCCCAGTTGTTCCTGGCATTCCTGCAATTCCAACAACTGTCAAAGAAGAAGACAGCGAACCGCACAGAAATTTTGTTCCAACACTGCCATCGAATCAATACCAAAATTTGACGCAATCAAGTAATGACAGTATTCAATCAAGTTCTATGCAGCAGAATTCGAATGCAAATGAATCAAACAACGTTCCTCAAGATGCAATCAACTCACAGCTTATCGAATCTACGGCGGCAAAACCAATTTTATCATCTTTAGGAACAAAAATACTTCAGACTAGTTCAACAACTCCAAGATCCTTCAGACGTCTCACTAGAAGAAGAAAAGTACCGAACAGAGCTCATGATCAAACTAGCAGTACAACTTCTAAGCCCTTGCCTGGTTTTAACTGTTTAGATAAAGAAATGTATCGATTTTATAAGGACGAAAGAGATTGCCGCTTGTTTCATTATTGTTCTCCCGGGTTTACACCCCAACAAGTCTTAGACTTTAGGTTTGTGTGTGAAGACGGCACTATATTCGATGAAGAACTCCAGAAGTGTCATCTTGATGTAAATAATCCTAAATGTATGAGGAGGGCATGGTAAATTCCCATAAAAAATTTGTATTATACCGATCAATGAATCTAGGTAATTATCTTAAAAAAAATTGAAATTAGTTTATATAATTGTTGTAATCTGTTATATAATTAATTTACCAAGATTCGAGAAATATTTGAGTAAGCTATATATTTATAATTTGTAAAGATATGTAAAATAAACACAAACTTGTCGTATTTTAGAAAATTGAAAGAGAGCATGTAGAAATATTTGATTTACTCTAAAAGTGTGCAACATAAATCGGATCTAATTTATATTGCTACTGTAAAGAGTCAAGTATTATGAATGTAATTTTTATTGTTAATTTGCCGTTGCTATGCAGCTTTGGGTATTTAGAAAAAATATACTGTATGCCTGTATCACTAACATTGATTTTGATAATTTGTGAATCCTGTTATATATTGTGTTCGCAGTATTGGAATACAATGAAATGCGTTATTAGTTTACGATTGCCATAATATTACTTTTAACTGTAGGATTCACTCTTATTAAAATTAATGCAATACCTCATAAAATGGGGATACTCATTGACATTATATTCAAGTTCTGAATTTGCATGAATGAATTTATTAATATTAAGTAGGAGTTTGAGAATTGATTACATTATTTTATTAAGTTTAAGTTGTGAACAAAATTTAGACATTCAATCATAAATATTATAAAAATTCTAACTAAACAAATTATTGATATAATAAGGTTCCTTCATCTTGCCTTAAAATAAGATTCATTATAATCGGTTTACTAGTATGTTACTATAGTTGAAATTGACCTCAAAAAGGAATGAAATAAATTAAGTAGTATAAAAAATTTACTGTAAAACCCAGAGCGAATGTGGAAGAAGTTCAGTTGTTTGTGTTACCAGTTAAAACTAGTTATTTTGAAGTCAGAAATTATTCATACATATTGTGTGGTAGAAACCTGTTTTTCAGAAAACATTTTCAAAAACTGTATCACGTATAATTGCTGTGTGGTTTTATTAACTATACAATTGTCATACAATATGGTTTTTTTTAATAATACAATTTTTGAAAATGTTTTTTGAAGTTCCTACTAAATATTTTTCTTAATAGCTATATGGTTGTCTAAGGAATAAGAACGTAAAGATAAGCATATAGCAGTTTCAAAAAATACTTATCCAGAAGTAATTTAAAAAAACATTTGTGAACATTTTCATTCATGCCTTGAGTTTGGTACATCTTTTGATTTTGTTTATATTTTTGAAAAAAGTTCTATAAACATAGTGGTAGAGTAATATTATAATTTTGAAAAACTATATGAAAAATATTGTTATGATATTGGCTATTAGGGTAATTAAATTTTAGTCAGACTTCAATTTAACTAACATAACTAAAATTTGTTAAAATATTCATTAACAATGCAATTGACAGGAAAATTCAAAACATCTCATGAAATATATGGGTGCGAATTGATCGTTCAATTTTCATTGATTTCTTTGATATGTGCCTAATAATATAAATATAATTATGAACAATAATTAGTAAATTACAATGTAAGTGTACTGCCTTTGTCAACTATAATACAATGGTTGACTCTTTGTATATAAATTTATCAATTGTATCATTATATTATTTATAATGGTTCAACTATTGTATAATTGTATTAAAACTCAATATATTAAATAATAATTGTATACAATATTTACAATATTAAAGTGCTTTTTTCATTGTCAATTACTCAATCCTTAATTAAAAGTAAACAAAAAATAATAATCTGGAATGGAATAAGTTAATTCTTACCTAAAAAGAATTTGATTGACATTTATAATTAATAATTATGAATGGGATTAAGTCTGCAGTTTCATGGTTTCTATTAAGTTTATGACTTAATGTCAACAAAAGTTTTCATTCTTGAAACACATCCCATTTCTCTTCGTTTTCCTGCACATGTAATACATGCTTTTTTATGCATCAAAAAAACTTATGAAATTGAACTAAAGATTACTGCATTCAACAATTTCATAATATTAGTCAGTTCACTGCTCACGTTTCGGCAGTGTGCTGACTGAACTGATACATACTGGACTGCTACTTATTGTAAGGTGTAAGGGTAGCGCCTAGCAGCATTCACACCTTTCTGTTACGAATTACGATATATATAGGCGCTTATTTCGCCGGTAGCGCGCGGTCTCAAATTGTAACCTCAAGACTGAAGTTGTAGTTTATATGTTTCAATTGTTTAAACAACTTCATTTGAATTGTCACGTACTCAAGAGTATTAGAGTCGTTAGTAAAGTAAAATATTCTTTCAATTATCAATCAGTTTTAAAGATGAGTTCAATAAAAATTGGTACACACAGTGGTACCTTCCATTGTGATGAAGTTCTTGCATGTTACATGTTGAAACTTCTTCCAGAATATAAGGATGCTACAATTATACGGTATAATAATTTTTTCTATTAAATTTAAGAAATTTCTAGATAACAATTGATTGCTCTATTCACAGAAGTCGGGATTTACCCGTATTAGATACCTGTGACATTGTTGTTGATGTTGGAGGAAAATATGATCCTAGTTCTCATCGATATGATCACCATATGAGGTAAAAATTTATCACAAATTTGATTGTTTACATCAGTTTATAAAAACTCAAGATTTATAATTTTTCAGAGAGTTTAATGAGTCATTCAGTACAGTTATGAATAAGCCTGGATATACTTCAACAATAAAATTAAGCAGTGCTGGTCTTGTATACTGCCATTTTGGTCAAAAAATATTAAAGCATTTACTTCCAGAAGTAGCTGACGATGACTTAGAAATAATTTTTAAAAGAATTTATGAAAGTTTGATTAAAGAAATTGATGGCATAGACAATGGCGTTCAAATGTTTGACGGTGAACCAAAGTAAATATTTCAGAGTCTACTTTGGCTACTTTATGCACAGGAATACAAGTTTTAATAAATTTATTTATAAATCAATTTTAAGGTACCGTATTGTAACAGACCTTGGTTCCCGAGTTTCAAGATTAAACAAACAATGGAATTCAATTAATATTGATGAAATGAATCAATTTCATAAAGCAATGGAATTGGTTGGAGAAGAATTTCAGCATTTTGTCAATTCTTCTGCTCGAATATGGTTGCCAGCTCGCACATTCGTTAAAGAAGCTATACAGAGACGTTTTGAGGTAAACTTTTATTAACAATAAATACAATTTTATTCTATTTTACTTTTTTTGTAAACAATCAAAAAAGTAATGAGATTTTTCAATTCTCTATAAAGTTTTTTCAATTAAATAATATATAATGTATTTGATAAAGATTAAGTTAGAATCTTTATATCATTAAATTATACTTAACATGTCTTCATTTTTATAGGTTGATGCTAGTGGAGAAATTATTGAATTTGAAAGAATGGTTCCTTGGAAAGAGCATCTTTTTGTAATTGAAAAGGAAATGGGATTGAACACTGATTCTAAACTTGGAATAAAGTTTGTCATATTCAAAGATAATAATTACAGAGTTCAGGCAGTGCCTGTAGAACTAGGAAGCTTTGAATGCAGGTATATATAAACTTCAATCATTATTTATCAAAAAGTATATAGTAAAAGCCACTGTGGAGTTTTAAAAAAAATTGATTTTTTTCAGAATATTTTTACATAAAGAATGGTTAGGTTTAAGAGATGAAGAATTGAGTGATGTAGCTAAAATCAAAGGCTGTGTTTTTGTTCATTCAACTGGATTTATTGGAGGAAATTTAACTCGAGAAGGAGCTTTAGAAATGGCTCGTAGATCTCTTGAGCAAAAACAATAAAATTTGAAATAATTTCTGTGATCGTAAAATTTGTTTTGCTCAAAATCCCATAAAAGATAAAAGATATTATAAAATCAGAATTTAATCGTATAGAAGTATTTTTCATTTCTATCCTTTGAATCAATTTTGTTAATGAGTGCGATATTATTCTAAAAGTTATGTGTTAATCATAAAGATTCTATGAAATTTTATAAATTAAAAATGTTTGTGAAAAAGATGCTCAAAGGTATATGTTCTGTTGGAGTATATTCAAATTTTTTTAGAGCACATTTTGAGTAAAATCCAATCGATTTTTGAATTTAGAATCGGCATAAATTCTAGTTTTGATTATTTCAGTCATCAGGTAGAATTCGTGAAGCAAGTTTAATAGTTTGTTACTGTATCTCAAAGAACATTTTATTTATAACTAATTGAGGAATCGAGGAATAATTAAAAAGTCCAACGAGGGAGCATATACAATCAAAAATTATATTGTTATATTCATTATATTTTCACAAAAATATTGGTAATGCTATACAAAACGAAAACAGACATTTTTGAAATTCAAGACGTAAAATCTATAACGATGTTTTGTACAAGCCGCGGACATACACATGAGTAATGCCAAACTGGATGTTCAAGACATAAATCTTTTGCAATTTACAACAAGAAAGTAATAAAAATACATAAAAAACACAGTGAAAATTCCTGTCACGACGGAGAGCGCAATATATAGAACCCCCCGGCCGTTGCAATATGATTTGTTTGCGGAAAATGTTTTATGCGTCCATTGTGAAAAAATAAGTTTGACTGGCGATTGTTTCACGTTCCATGATTGAAACACATCATAAAGTCGGAGGTGTCGTTAGTGTTATTTACTGGTGAGAAGCTGCGCGAGCGTATTCGGCGAAATGGGCGGCCTTGGCCTGGGCGACTTCGGGCGTGTCGACGACGTTTCCGTCGGGTCCGATGGGCGCCGTGTAGGGGTAGCCGTAAGCGTAGTACTGTCCGCTAATGGGAGCAGCGTACGGCTGCAAGAGTGCCTGCGAGAGCAAAAAATCATTTCATTGAATAAATCGTTTTTGTGACCCTGTTTGAATCTCCGAGCGCGATGAATATGGGAAATGGAATTTAGATCGTCGCTCGCTCGCTCGAGCTACTAGCTTACCCTTGAGTGGGCCGCGAAGTGGGCAGCTTTGGCTTGAGCAACCTCGGCGGTGTCGATGACGCGGCCGTCCGGTCCAAGCGGAGCTGGCTCGTAGTACGAGCCGTAGGGCGAGGAGTAGGCGAAGGCGCGCGGCGCTACGTAGGCCGCAGGATAGGCCAGGTGAGCCTGAGCCTGGAGCAGCAGCGGCGCCGTGCCCAGAGTGTTCCTGGCCGCCTCGTAATTGTAGCGGGCGATGTGAGCGGCTTTGGCCTGGGCGACTTCGGGGGTGTCCAGGGGAAGGACGGCACCGGCCATGCACTGCGCGGCCAACGCCAACAGTAGGAATGCAACCTGCTCGGGGCACGCAACGCGACCACAATGTTACATATCGTCTCTCTCGTCGTTTACATTAAAAATTTTCGCAATCCGATGACGACCGTATAGACTATCTGTACGGGAATTTACATTTCTTATCATATTTATATGTGTCGATTGCGATATTTTTTAATGCAAATTAAGTTTTTACTTCCACGCGGTAAATCATGACAATTTTTAAATAACTACATGTTACAACTTTAATATCTCGTTAATTTCTGTAATCTTCGTGTGTCTAAGTTTTTTCTAAATGAAAAAAAGTTGCTCGAACGCAAAAAAAATGTTTACATAAAGTATTGTGAAACTTTATCTACGAATGTTGTTAACATATTTTATACATTTGTTAAATGGACGTAAAAGTATACATAAAAATTAGATTGAAAAAGGATCGCCATGAAGTCAATTACAAAAAATTCTCAAATGAAAATAAAAATTTTTCGTATTATTTCAAGAAGTAAATTTTTTGACAATAGATATTGACACCATATTTCTTCTGTAACCAGTACTAATATTCATATGGGACTTTTCGAATGATGAAATATTTAATGAAAGAAAATAAAAATTTATTGGAAGAATTATCCGTTCAAAAGTTAAAAATTTTACGATTCATACTATAGTGCAAAAGAAAATTAATTACTAGTTACAAAATTAAAAATTAAAAAAACTATAAGTATCCCTGAAATTTTTAATCAAAAAGATTATAATTAAGCGTACGCTTTAAAAAACGAATTGCCGCGAGAAAATTAAAAGTTCTGAGTGTGAAAAACGTACCCAAGTTTTCATGTTGAAGGAATGTGTTGTGAGACTGGCGCGAATGCTCTAGTCGAGTAGAGAAATCCTCAGTGACGATCTGGACCGAAGGCAGGCGGCCTTATATAGGAGCTTCTGATCTGCTGGGAGTCGTTCAGAGGGAGTCGTCGAACTACCGCAGGCGTCGCGCGTCGTGCTCTACGAGAATTCGCAGCGCTGCAGGGGTAGGGATGCGTGTGTGTGTCTGGTGTCTTTACGTGCAGCCAAGAGCAGTAACTTTTAACACACGCCCCGCACTCTTTGACATTGACATTAGCGCGCGCATTGAGGCGCGCTCCGGCGAGGTCGCGCAGCTGCTGCTGCTGCTGCTGCATCGTCGTCGTCCTGCGGGGCTTGCGCACCGCAGTAAAAATCGACGAGTCTTGATCGACGCGCCTTAATGATTGCTGCATACGCGCAAACGATTACACACCGATTTTTCTCACATATCTCGTTCGAGCAGGTAGTAAGTTCCTCGTTTGCGAGAGGGGCCCTCCTTTGTTTGCTGGCCACGGCAAAAAAGCTCCTACGAGATGCACGCGAGGAGCTGGCCTTTTTTTCTCTTCTTTTTGTAATCGCCGCACGATGAGATTCCGGGAGGCTCAATTTACCCTGCCGGTACTGCCTATATAATAATCGATTTTCATTCGAATTTTAGAGCGATTTTTAATTTTTACATTCAATAAATTATCTCGAAGATTGCTTTTTATTCAAGTCGAGGATGAAAATTATAAAAATAACATTTTTTGCTTTTTATTTCTCATCAGAAAATCGATGAATGAATCGGTAAATGAAATATACAAATATCAAAAGATTTTTTAATCTTTCTTTTTGGATTAACCCTTTTGGAATTTTTAAAGAAAAAATTTTATATTTAATTAACAAATGAAAAAGGTTTTTTCAATAAATAACAATTTTTAAAATTACAGCAGCACTTCCGCTGTACAGATTATAATGTTTTTCTCGATTTGTACTTAAAGTGTTTTATGTAAGTTTACTCTCCTACCAAATTTTCAAGAACCAAATAAAAGAAGTACGAAAGAAACCCTAATTATTTTTTTGTTATATCAGTATGATCGCGACACGATTTTCATTACATCAGAAAGGTTTGTTAGAGTAAGAAAAAAACTCAATTACCAGCTTATATAATCATATGCACGTTAAAAGACAAAATTTACATTTTTGGTTAGCCACGGGCTTTCAAAGTTCACTAATTACTCCATTTTCATTATATGTCAACGAGAATGTGCAGTTATGCTGGATTTCGTTAAGAAATGCTGGTGAAATTTTCATAACACATTGTGAAAATTGTTGCATTATATGCCTATGACATTGAATAGTATTAACTCTATTATTAAAGTAAATTGAGATATTAAAGGCATAAACATATATACATTCAAGGGATTTCTTGTGAGACTATTGCTGACATCGACATCAAACAAGTACAATTCGTTATTAAATCGCCCACGTTAAGGAATTTTCAATAGCAAAATATAATCCATTTCAATTGCCTTTTATCACGCAGTGTAGTATTAATAGGTCATTCGCATTTTTCTTAAATTTATAAGCTAATTTTTATGGCAATGAGTATAATGGTACATTACAAAGAAATGATTTCATGCGCAACATTTTCTTGAAAAAAAAAAGAATAAATAAAATCAGGAAGATTGAAAGTTTGACGAGAACAAATACAGAAATTCTCATGAAATCCGGATTGGAGTTGTAACAAAATTATGTTGTAATGTAAAACATGAGTGAAATAAGTCTAGCTTGGACATTTATCTATAAACTTGTCATATGCAGTTGATGCAATAAATTTCATCAGCCAAAACTGACATGTTCACCTTACCCTTGATACCGATTTTTGAGCTAAATTAAAGGATCGTTAACTGATAAAGGTATTGTTTCATATTCTTATGATTACCAAAATTTTACAACATATTTTTTATTTGATCGTAATTTCGTCATTTTACAATTTCCCATTATAAAAAATGGATACAGAAAAAGAGCATATCTCAAGTTCAACAGAGCACAGAATTTTTTTTAAATCTATCGAGACGTATCTACTTTCATTTGTTCGACCATCAAAATATAGCGGTCGGGGCAGTCACCAATCATTGGGTGTCAATTGCGGCAAGTCTGCCTGTAGAACATTATATAGGTTGGTGCGTACATTTTTCTCTGAATGAAATGAGACTTTACATGCCGGACAATCTCATGCAGTGTGTGGCACCAGTTAGGGGGGAGCCTCTCGCATACCTTGTTTGGGTCTCGGTGTTCTCTGCGTTTATTATGCAAAAAGAAAAGGAGAGGGGCTGGCAGAAAATTCTAGAGTGGTAATCAATGAAATGTTTTTCTTTGTTGTACAGTGAATATTACAATTAAAATATGGCCATGTTCTTTGCCAAAAATTAATTTTTTATTCAACTAAATTACTCAAATACAATAATAATTTTTTCTAATTTGTCGTTCAACATAAACTTTCGGTCGGAGTTATAAAACTATTGAAAAATGTTAACTCTTAATTTTATGAACATGCATATCAATATGAGTTATCGACTTTCAATCAGATTTTATACATTAATCGATTGTGAACGAAAATATGAGATTACATTTTTTTTTATTTTACTTTTTAAGTGTTCAATAATTGAAAAATAAATATAAGATTATTTATGGTATCTGTTCATTTTTGAAAAATAAAAATTACATCTGGTACATTTTTTATTCATTCACTTTTTTTTAGAACAATGTTGCATGGTAATTATGTACCTCGCATTTCTTGAACACGAATACAAGAACTTCAAGCATAACTCAAGGGATTGAGTAATACAATAAGAAAAATTTGTAAAACGATATAAGTAGCTTCGATTATATGGTTGCCAGTAAGGGAAAATCAAGTTTGTCGACCAGTTGCGCTCCATATCCGGGATGAGATGTACTCGTTTATTTACATGTTTTCAGGTGTATTATAAGAGGGTGACGGTTAAATTTAAAAACGTGCTAGATATCTGCAGGGGTTAAACTGTTGATACGTTGTTTTTTTATTAAGATCAAATGTTACCTTAAGGATTAAATTTTTCTCGTAAATAATTATCGCTGGTAAATTTATTTTGATACATCAATTATAATTAAATTCGGTATGATTGCCAAGAGCGATATCCAAATACTCTAAAGTTATCGTTTGAAGAACTATGCAGCTCTGTCGCTTTATAAGACAATAGTGTGTGGTCAACAAATGTCACAATAAAACACCACTCCTAAATAATACTGTAGCATCGTGTAACGTATCGAAACTGCAAAATATATTATTCAATCTTCATCTTTGCACTGATTATATAGCGGTACTGATGGGATGCCACTATGGACCTGTGTATTGAAACAATGGTATGAACGTCACGCATAATCTCTCGAATAAAAGACAACCCGTTGACATTCATAGTTATAAATGTATATTGTGCAACTGCTTTTAGTTTACTTTGGTTCCTTTGAATGGCAGTAGTAATCAGGACGGCGATATTATTAGCTTTTAAGCGAAGGTGAGGATAGAATTGTGTGGTACCGTTGATTGGCCTTTGTATCGTCTGACCAAGAACGATTCATAATATCATAGGTCTCATAATTCTAAATATTTTCTTAAAGAATTTAGAGGTGTCTGAGGTGTCTATAATTTTTGACCTGCATAATGATATCAGTACTAAATCTGTGAACGATTACTTATTTTGAAATGAATAATTTTAGTTTTTACAAAATACTGTTTAATACAAATGAGCAGAAGAAAATCGAATGAAAATCGAGTAAAAAAGTTGCACAATCTATTTTTTATTAAAATAGTTTGCTTTTTTGTGAGTATGTTGTATTTAAATGTCCCATCAAATGAATGCGAAGGTCGTTTGAAACTGTGTACATCAGGTAGACAGTTTTCGAGGCCACTTAAAGTTAAAGTTAATATTGTTCACAAAGCATTCGTCACAGATTTTTTAGAAATTCGTTTTCGTTTCCTTTTCTTAATTTTCATACTTATCTCTCTAGATTCATCTCTCTCGCATATATATTTCTTTAACAAAAATAGATTGTGTAAATATTTTAATGAATCCGTACTAAAACTTGACATAAATTATTTAATTAATTAAATATACCTTAACTTAATATGGTCGTGGAGATTTGCTTCGAGAATAGAAAAGTTTTTTCATTCCCATTTCCTCTACACTCCAAATAAAAAATCTGTTGAATGCTTTGAAGTTGAAGATAGTTATGCATTTTAATCCAAATAAATATGAAGCATATTTTTTAGCATTACGAATTATCTCTTCGAAACTGTGCTCGCATTTTATTCATTTTATTCATTTTAATTTTTTGAAAGACAATGACAAAGCTTATCAAAAATGAAAAACGATACTTTTAGAATATATTTTTGATCTATAAATTGAATGACGAAAGAATAACTGAAAAATTGTTCTCATTATACAAGTACTTACTGCAACGATTTATTGCATATTCGATACTTTTTTTGAAAATACCGTAACAATTTTCAGTTTAAAAAAATTGAGACACACAATTGTATGATCTTAAACACAGGAAGCAAAAAGAGTGCGGATGAAAAATAGGGATATAAATTTAATCAGCAAAATTGTCGTAGAAGGTGATATGACTTGCGTTAGATAGAGGTATGAATATACAGGCACAAAATCGCAAAGCACAAAATGAGTGAAATCGAACCGATATCGCGAGGAGCTCTGTTTCGTAGACATTACAACCGCTGTAAAAGCTATATGAGAGTCGACGTAAGACGATATCGCGGAAAGAACAATTTTTTTTTTTTTATTTGTTATCTATCAACTTACGTTTCTAAGTTTTTAATTGTTACTTTTAAGCAGCCGTCCTTATTGAAGTGTGTTAAAAGACTTGCAGTTGCTCCCATTTTATAAAATTTGACACAATGTTCAAACGGATTATTAGTTGTACTCATAGTAAGTGTTCATAAACATTGACTGCTAGTAGATGAAAACTTCTTATTTGAATCCTGGTGAGGCAGTTTTTTTGCTTATCGGCAGGAAAAGTGTTTACAATACTTTTAACTTTCCAGCCGATAGATGGTACT